ATTTAAGTAAATGAACAGTCTACACATGTCTTCTATAGTTTACTTGATAATGTATGATCATTATATGATTAAAATTGAGTAGATCCAATTTTAGAATATTGATTTTTCAAATCTTTTTGTGATTAAATTCTCTTTCATTTTACAAGCTTCCTGGACATTGTTTGTATTTTATATTTTTTTTACTGAATGTTTTTAAGACAAGACAAAAACGGTTGATGGAATCTATTGCTTAATAAGTTTGCATTTCATTTTTACTTTGTTTCGATAAATTCATCCATGTCTAATGTTCAACTAATACATGTATTTCTTATTCCTTACCTTTTATTCTGTCTAACTTTTTTTGTCAACCATATCGGGAACAATACACATTATTTTTTTGGTATGTGTAATTTATTTGTTTGTTTACATATCTATATATGTGTTCATCTATGTATTTGTGTTAATCAGCTGTAATCCAACCAATCTGCTACAATAAGAAACAGATATAAAAACAAAAAAGAAAAAAAACGACTTCAAAACTATCTTTTTAGATATAGATCACAATGAAGAAAAAGTGAATTTTAAAAAATACACAAGGAGGTATGTTGTTTGTTGTTGTCGTTGTTGAAAGAACCAAGTACAAACCATGGAGACTGTTTTAATATTACATACGGATATATTTTATCATGATCGAAACCAACAAAAAACCCGTCTAAATGGAATTTATGAAAAAAATAACTGATAATTATAGAGTAAAAAAATGGGTGTAGATTAATAAAAGAAAAAAAATAACCACTCATTACATAGAAACAGAATATACTTCATTATATTTTTATATATGAAGTAATAAATTTTCATCTTGACACATTATAATAAGTACTGACCTCTCTTCTACTCACAAATGAAACCAGTTTCACATTCAAAGGTTCTGTAGCAGTATATAGCAATTTATATATATATATATATATATATATATATATATATATATATATATATATATATATATATATATATATATATATATATATATATATATATATATATATATAAAAATGTAGGTTTAAAGCATTTTTCTAATCACTTATGTACCAAACTATTTCATTCAAAACAGTCAAAGTTTATGGAAACTGGTATTGTATTTTATGAAACTCAACACACTAGCTTCATAATTCCTTGTGACTTACAAAATATATAATTGTTTACATTACAATAATCTTTCAAGTTAATAATTAACCATTAAATATTAGATTTACAGTTTCTAAATAACTGCTCTTAAGAGTCATACAAAAACCTGTCTCAATCTGTTAACAAATAAAAATACATATTACTGCGATTCAGTAAACTATTAATGCCCGCGAATCCTCTGGTACGGCCAAGAGCTCTCTTTCTCAAAATGCTCTCACATGGCCACACACATACAACCACTGCCAGTGGAGTCCTACTCACTGCCTTCTCGTGGCGAGGGTGCTGCTTACAAAAGTGAAAGGACGAAAAGCGAATGTTCGGTGTTTAACCGGGTTGGTGGACACGGTAAGTCCACCTATAGTAGTTGGAAAACCCTCATTCCAAACCAATCGCTCACATGGGTTCCAGTGTCCTGAAGGAATGAATGGCATATGAACCAATTGTTGGTCACCGGTTACCATAGAACTGCACCTCCTGACGTTGCTCCACTGTCTTGTGGATCAGACCTTTATGTCAAAGGCTTTGAGTGTGGCCCCCTAAGAAAACCACTTGCTTCGGTCTAGGCATCCGGAATATATCACAGCGCACACACAAATCAAGTGACTTGTGTGACGCAAATGTATTCGGTGCCCCCTTGCACCAATATTTATATGTCCAACCCATAGTGCAGTCGAATAATGTACATGTCAGTTGGAATAATTTTAAAATGCATGAAGAAGATTCTGTTTATTAACATTATGACTATTAAATTTCAATTCCAACTTTCATATAACTGCATATATATATACTGAGATTATTTATAAATAGAAATTATGTAAATATTTGTGAAATGAGAAATATGCAGAATGAATATCATATTAATCATTTTAATTAAACTGTAATTAGTTAGTGAAATATTACAATATGTTCCAGAGGTAAAATAAATCACAAATAGGACACTAACCATTTAAAAAAACTGTAGCGTTAATGGGCATTCTATTTTTTTTTAAATTTAAAAAAAACAATCGTATCATAAATATCAACGAATATACAACAGAAGTATAATGGATCATATAATCCAACCATTATACTTTTTCAATGGTTGAAATCGAGTCAATTGAAGCTAGACGAACATGGAAAACCTGGAAGCACTGGACAGCCGTTTCGTCCTATTGTGGGACTCCTCAACAGTGCGCATCCACGATCCCGCCCACCGCGAGATTGAAACCCAGGACCTATCAGTCTCGCGCCAGGTGCTTAAAGTGCCGCAACACAGTTCATCTATATATTTATGATTTATGAGTGATCAATAAACTGTAACATCTTTAACGAGATAAACTTAAAATTATAAAGATTTTGTTCTTGTTTCTATGTGTTATAATATAACTTATGCTTTAAAATTGGTAGTTAGCTTAATCATTAATAAAATCATTATAGTTCTTCTCTATACAGTATACAACTACTTGCTAAACATGTCCATATCATAGTCTTTCACATTTGATAATATTGATCCTGATCTTAATCAACGAAACAAACTTCTTGTTTATGAGCATAAAGGTGGTTTGTATTTCATGATGACAAGATAATTAATTTTCGTTATTTGTTAGCACTAATTTAAAAAACTATCAATTGAATACAACTAAGTCTAATAGCTCCATTTATAAGGTTAAAATAAATAGTATTGACTTCGAAGATTTTTGTAAAAATAACTTGAAAACATAAATGAACAAACATTATGATAGTATGGAATTGATATATATATATAGTTGAATTCATCAATCACTTGAAGCTAGACCACCATGCAAAACCTGAAGGCATTGGACGGCCGTTTCATCCTAGTATGGGACTCCTCAGCAGTGCGTATCCACGATCCCGCTTCGCTAGATTTGAATCCTGTGTTTATTAATTCAACTATTAGAATTACTATGATATCTACAAAACCCCTCTCTGATTATATCTTTACGTGTTAAATTACTATAACTTATTGTTTTGGTTATGTAGTCAACCAGAAACTGTTTTTGGTAGTTACATTGACTACTGAAAATTGATGTGTATTTCTTTGAGTTTTCGCATGAATAAATTTAGATTTTCACTTGTTTATAAGACATGTTTATAAAGTTCTCAAAGTCCAATTAGCTCTGTTTATGATTTAATTACTTCTATTCACGAAAGCAATGACTTAAATGTAACCTAAAATTCCTCATCCAGACTTATATAGAAGGAAAAGTTGAAACAGAAATTGTTATGCTTTAACTGATTCCTTACTACGGTTTTGCACTTTAATAATTGTGGTCTTATCCGCAATATTCCTATACTTAGAATTATTTACAATTACTAGTCAAAATTGTATTCTAAGATTAGAGAGAACTGATTTATTGTTATGCTTATTCATTGAAACAAACAGATTATATAGTAATAATTAGTTGAAAACTTTCAATGAAAGGTATAATATTGAAAGAGGTTACCTAGGCACATTAATTATAATTAAAAGAGAATAACGAGAAAAGGTATTCAATTCTAAACAATATTCATCCTCAAAATACTATTGTCTACCAAATAAATCATAAAACTGCATATTAACAGTCTAGTTATTCGATGTTTTTCTGAACGAAATGAGGCAAATTAAAAAGATGGAACCCAGTGGAATAAGCCATATTTAGTACACTTATTTGCACACTATGCAGCAAATCATCAAACAGTTCAAAAGCTCTTGATTACTCTTATTTGTCTGTTGCTTAGCGATGAAATAAACCGTTTAGAAACTTGACAACCAAATTTGCAAAGTGTGAGCACTAAGTGAGTCCTTTTAAAAGAAGAGTTGAAATGGTCGACACACAAACGAATGAAAATAGATTCAAGTAATTAGTAACATACTGAGTCTTTGTTTAATAATTTAACATTATAGCTAACATTCAGTACACATACTCGTGACAAGTCTAATTAAAAACTAGTCTAAAATGAATTAGAAATAATTATTATTAGATGCCACTTACAATTTATGACAAATATTTTATGTGCAATATATGAATGTTCAAGATGACGATTTCATTATATCACCTTGAATAAAAAGCACTCATTATAGGTGCATAGTTGCATCCATGTAGATAAGGGTGGCCTGCTTGAGCATCTGGGCTACCTGTTCCTGCCATCTAGATATTTCAACAAGTTATCTATTTTTGTTTGTTTTAATATATCATTATGTTTATTAATCGCATAACCTATTCTGCTGCGTTTCTGAAAAGTGTACAACCTTCCGTTGTCAAGGTTACAGAAAACTCAATAAGAGACAATATGGTTGCTGGCAATATACAACGAAAAGAATGTACATTATTCAATTGTTCATTCACTGAAGTGCTAACATCTAACTGGCGATCCCTCAATATTTATCGCCAGGACCGACCAGGAAGAAAGAAACGAAAACTTGTTGAAATACTTTGCGCTGAGAATTCTATATTGTACCAAAACTATAATATTGAATAAAGCTAATAATAATAATAATAATAATAATAATAATAATAATAATAATAATAATAATAATAATAATAATGTAGACTTAGCTCAACCAATCACCATTTAGTCAACGGAACTTGGCATTTTGAAGCAGGTTTTGAAGAATTAGTCGCTTATCCGTTGATGATAATTTACTCAACCACTGAATGCATACCAAATATAAGTTAGAAAATAATATAATAGTGAAAGCATAGTATGCTTTTAAAAAATAGATCCGGTTTATAATATTTGACTGTATGCTTTAAATGTAAAGAACATTGTGATTTTTCAAAATAACTAAATTAATGTAACCATATTTAACTAAAAGATAAAATATATTTTTTTGAATATGTGAATTCTAATTAAAGGTACTGAAATTTGGAACGAGGAGCTACTTTTAAAAGAAAACTTCATAAATGGATCACCTAACCTATGTCAAAATGGTAGACATCAATCACCGATTAATATTATGACCAAAAATCTTGTTTATGATCATTCACTATCCGCAATGGAGATAGAAGGATTAGAAAAGCAAGTAAATTAGTTATAATAAAAACTTTTTGATAATTCAGTAACCTTGCTTTATCAATATTTCTGATAAACTGTTTAGTCAGGTTAACACTTAAGCTTCACTCTCTCTCTCTCTACGTCATCAATAATTTAATGAATGGACCCCATTTTCCAACATGATTTCACAAGCCAACTTAAAGTTGACGAAGGAAGATAATGAACTGACAAAGATTGACTTTCACTGGATATTATTTAACATGATTTAGTTTATCTACTATTTGTTATCATACTAAGAAGTGATTTCACATGAAAATTTCCTGAACATGGTTTTTAATATGCAGTTCAATTTCACTCTAGAAATGAGCTGAAAGCTAAACTTCTAAATAACTAACTATCAATGGATAAAACGATTATCTTCACAACTAACGAGTAAATTCTTGTCATTCATTAAAATGTGAACGAAGTTTAGTGACTAGTTTCATCACCACATTTCAATTGGACAAATAATTTAAAATAAGACATAAACGAGGATATTTCACTACTAGATTGTCGGAAAAAATGATCTAAATAATTAAAATAAGAATAAAGCATACAGTGAAACCTCTTTGTTTTCTTCTGGCTAATAAGTTTTGCTACAGTTATAGCTTCTATATGGTCGGCAAATTTTGTTAAAAAGGTTATCTGAACAATGTAAAGCATGAAACCAATCTACTAAATATAAATTCACCGAACACTTTTAAATATCCACATTTAAATTTGCAATCAAAGAGAGGGTTTGTGGATATCTTGGTAATTTAACTAGACCATAATGGAAAATCTGGAAGCACTGGACGGACGCTTAATCACTAGACCACTGAGCTGGCCGGCATACAACGGTGTAGATGTTTAACTCCAACTAATCCACAAAATTACGCTAGCGTCCATTATTTGCTTCAGTGAGTTACTATCTCACAACAGACCTGGTTGAACTCCACTAGTCACTGCTTTTCATCAGAATTCCAGGAAATACCTCTTGAAGCCAGTCAATAGTGAGTATTGTTGATGTTAGTTGAAGTTGAACATTAACACCGCTGAATGCCGGCTCAGTGGTCTAAAGGTCAAGTGTTTGTGTGCGAGACTAATAGGTTCTGGGTTCGAATCTTACGAAGCGGAGTCTTGGATTAGCACTGCTGTGGTGTCGCATACTAGGACGAAACGACCGTCCAGTGCTTCCATGTTTTCCATGGTGGTATAGTTTTAATTGACTCATGAATTCATTTATCACATTTAAAATTATTTAAAGTATTACGATGTAACCCCAAGTTCCCATAAACCTTTAGTTATTCTATATTCATACGAATATAATTCATTAATCTAACCAATAGTCATACAAATCGAATCAATCACAAAGATAAAAAAACTAATTGATTATAACTTTATACTACTAACAAATATGAATACAATAAAACAGACTCATTGATTCAAGCACATATCTATTAAATATTCAATTGTCAAATACAATTTTTTTACATTATTCTCACAGTTCTTATTTATTCTATTTGTTATTTTCATTTATGACAAGTGTCCACTTATAAAATTTGTATTCAATGTTACAAATGACAGAATACTCTATTATCTAATATTTTTTTGTTGCTTACTTACTTACTTACGCCTGTTACTCTTAATGGAGCATAAGCCGCCGACCAGCATTCTGAAACCCACCCTGTCCTGGGTGTTTTTTTCTTAAATAAATTCAACATACATAACTCTCTATTCAATAATCCTAATTCAATAAGTGTAATTAGTTATTCTATATCTTTATTCATATCGTATAAATCTACATTTTTATTTATTTGTAATGAACTTTTGTTTAAATGACAAATTACATTATTTATCATTCATAAAATAGATAGATAGATAGATGTATGTGCTTGTCTAATTTAATTAACCTAAATTATGGGAATAATAAATATATATACTGATTAGATAGTATGTTCATTTCATGAAAAGATAATAGTTGAATACATTTTTTACTACTATAGAATAAACAAAATGACTGAAAACTGTTTAATTGTGATTAGTTTTCTATCAAATTCTCTTTATATACTTCAATCATTTATGATGTAATGATATATATATTATGATAAGGCGTTCTGAATCTTATTTGTTTGAGGATGAATGACCGACAAATTGATTTAGTCCAATGGTTTATGAAACCGGTCATATAAGTCTTTTTTTATGGTTTGTGTACTAACATATTATTTTATTAAATAAGAAAACTTATCCTCTGATATCAGTTTTGTTAAGGAGTTACATTAATGACTCAGTCTTGTGTGAAGGCGTGACTATAATTTATGGAGTACCTTTGGACGAATCTAATGTGACCTTAAGAAATATTAGCCAGTCGGAAAACAGTTCGTATATAGTAAAAATATACACTTGCTTTACATGATTCAAAAACTTGTCAGGGTTAGAAAGAGGTTCAAAGGTCCTAAAATCGTAACAAATGCAGTAGAGAGAATCATCCATATGGTTCCATAATAGTCGGCCTCCGGAGCCATGATAAGATCGCGGAAAACTGTTTCAGCTTTGACCACATAGCTTCAGTATTGTTTGTGCGCCCTACGTTTGTTTTTGGTCCACAAAACGCCACGTGTGGATAACGACACGATACACATGAACAAGCCGATGTAGCGATCTGTACGCTTTATAATCATCCGTATACATTGTAGTACACGGTAGCAGACAGTGTTATTGGTGCTTTTATTATCCGGTTCGCAACAACCGTTATAATTTACCCTAGTCTTAATCTGGATTTGGCAAAAAACGTCCTATTCTAGCAGACTTCTTCCAACACATATTACATAAAAAGACAATAACATCACGGTAGTCTGCGCAAGGTCCACAAGTAATTTGATTACCACAATCACAAATAAAGGAACTCCTTAATAGTCCCATTTATTATAGTCGCCCAATTATCACGTTTTCTCCAAAATCCTCTGTGAACCGATCGTACGTGAGTATCAGATTCTGAAATTGGTGCCGTGATCTTGAAATACCTGAAACACTTCTGATTGACTCGTCCATAAATTATAGTCTCACCGGAAAATCCTCAAATATCTTTCCGTTAAAAATCATGAAAGTTAATCTATAAGATAATATAAATTGCAAACGAAATTCAACTAGACAACCATTAAAAATTAAAGTCTTTACACAACTCTCTTTTCAACACAACCGACACTACAAATCACGAATATCTTCAGTTAATTTGTTGTGAATGTGTTTATGAAATTAGTTATCATTAAGAGAAATTTTGATATGACTTTGATAGATAACAGATAACTGAATTTATGTTGCTATAAGAAGAAATTAATCAAATTCCAAAGATCTACTCTGGATACTCTTGTTGATAAGTGTTATCTTTTAATTAGTACATTGTTTTTAATATATTTATTTTGTTTATAAGCTTGAACTAATCGTTGAAAATTGTGGATACGATATACGTATAAGTTTAACTAATGAATTTGTACAATTAAATGGTGGTCCATCCTCATATGCTTATCGAATTTCTTTTATGCAAATTAAATTTGGATCAGCATCAACTCAAGGATCAGAGCATACAATCGATGGTAAAGCATTTCCAGGTGAAGTAAGTAAGACTATTTTCTATTTATAAGTAGTAATTTATTCTAGTTATAAAGTTATTTTCCTTAATAAAATATTTATTCAATCTGTTTAATTAGTTTACTTTAAGGATCAATTACAACTATACATCTATGTGGGGTTTTTTTTCCATTTTATATCCTGTTTTGCATTTAAAGACTCATGTTTTGTACCACAATATTTTAGTTATTTTATTTAATTGTAAATCCTTCTTTTTCATTATGCTTAAGTCAAGTATAGTTTATTTATAAATGATTGGCATTAATGCCAAACTTAATTAGATTTAAATTGATCAATACTCACTGTAACTTATTTCCATAGAAAAAGCCTTTCTCCGCATATGTTAAGTTTGACTATGAAACATAATCATATAATCATTAATATGGTAACTATAATACACTGAGAACCTGTGGATAGTGTAAACAATTGTTTACAAACTGTAAAACTTACATTTTAATGCATCATATGCTTCATAAACATGAGGATTTATATTGTTCAATCACAAATTTGATTTTAAAAAATTGTTGTTTGTATATTTAAAAACCAATGTATTTTCTAGCAAAGTATAATTCAATACACACCACACAATATCGTGGTTATCTTTTTGTACTGAAAACGATTTTCATCCCATACAATCATCCTTATATAGATGCTTAGACTATTATAACATTACTATTAGTGTGTGGATTGTTTGTAATAAAGTAACAATTTGTAACATCTCAATAAGTAGAAAATCGGATTACTGATATCGGTTTTCTTATTAATAGGCTCATCCATAAAACGTAGAAGTACATTCTACAGAACGTTTTGAACCTGAGTATTTATTTGTCAGTACTCATTGTTAATATCTGAATGTAAGTCCTGTAGGGTCTTTTTGGTATTACAACTTGTATCATCCAGTCCTTAAACTATTGGCATTAATAACTGATGTCTAAAATACTTATCATAAACATTTATCATTATATCTGATCATACCAATTTTCAATTCACAATGAATGTTCAAATTGTTTGCTTTCATCTACTCCGTATACATAAAATAAAAATAAATTTTATAAACAAAAGTTCCTTTTCAAAATACTTTAACACAAGTTTAATTTACAATCATTAAAGTGGCGTCTTTTAGGAAGTTAGTTTTCTACTGGATGGGGTTGTTAACTCCATGCCTAACCCTCTTCTTTTATCAGAGTTTGAGATCGGAAGTAGCCCCAGAGGGGCTCCAAGCGGAATAAACTAAACTCATAGATACCTGAATCATTCACTTTAAGAAAGAGTTTCTTGCAAATATCACTATTACTGTAATTATAATTTGAGTCGAATGAATCAAAAAAATATACAATAGAACTTTCAGACAAATCATTCATACATTCAAATTAACTTCACAAAAAAAGTAATGACTTGTTTCTTAAAACAAACTTTAATTTGAGCCTTTTTCAATTAAATATTGTCGAAATTTTTTTTCCTTTTTCAGCTTTCAAAAATACGATAAATGTTTACCTCGGATTGTAGGTTTACTAAAATTAAATAAGTGACTTAGAAATAAAACTAATTAAATATCAACTATTGAATTACTAGTTTGAATTCCATTTTAATTTAATTCGATTTGCATAAATATCCTTCATTCATAAAGTATTACTTAAAGCTTGATTTTTAAACCTGTGGTAGTTACTGAATTTACTAATTTTTGCACCAGCTGATCACTGATTAATAACCATGGTATTAATTAAATTATATTGATTAGTTTGGTATATGGTCACTAGTCTAAGCACTGCTGAGGAGTCTCACAATGGGACGAAACGGCCGTCCAGTGCTTCTAGGTTTTCAGCGGTGGTTTAATATCAATCAGTTCATGATCTCAATCAAAAACTTAGTAATCTCCACATCCCCTATATTACAAATTTAAATATTTTATTAAGAGTTTAAATTAAGTTAAACTATATCGAAAGTTATCGATGAGTTGGACTGTTATGTCTAGAGGTTAGATCATTGATATACCGTGTAAAACTTGAGCACTCAAACACTAGAATCCTCCTATTCGCAAATGAAAAGACAGAAGAAGAGTGAGAAGGAATGCAATTCCGAACCGTATCAAACATCTTACAAAACTCTCAAGTATTTACATATTTTAGTAAAAGTGAAGGGAATTTATCGGAAAGAATATTTTCCGTTCAAACATTAGTCTTTTAATATGACAGGCATCTTTAAACGATTAAAAGTGAAATCATCATTATAGTCCTCCAATCCTCATCCAGTGGTCTTTGGCATTTGTCCAATAGGAAAGCTACATGTCGAGATCCCGGATAGTTCTTTCAAGCGATGATTAGATGAAATGTACTTGTTCCTTCTTCTTAGAGTTTCCTCAAATTCACACTTGGGCCGTCCTCATATAAACCTTATTCTTGAAAAAAACAACTTATTAAATAATTTCCAATAAAACTATTATTCTTTTGTGAGGTAGTAACTCACTGATGACAATGGTGGATGTGTTACTCAGTTTCGTGGATTAGTTGAAGTTAGACACTCACACCGTTGGATGCCGACTCAGTGGTCTAGTTTATTAAACGCCTGGCGCAAGACTAATAGGTCCTAGGTTCGAATCCCGCGAGGCGGAGTCGTGAATGCGCACTACTGAGGAGTCCCACAATAGGACGTAACGGCCATCCAATGCTTCCAGGTTTTCCATGGTGGTCTAGCTTCAATTGACTCATGATCTCAACTAATGAAATTAGTACAATCTCCACAAAACCCCTTCTGATAATAATTCATCTACTCTTTATTTTGATAACGGAAATGAATAATAAATATTTTGTAATTATATGACATAATTGTTCGAATTATTACTATTATTATTAAAATCAACCCTTGTCCTCTTCTTCTCTCTATTTAACCAATATGATTATTGCCAATACTACTATTATATAACTATTGTTATTTCAAATAAATTCTACTTTATCAGTTTTTACTTGACTATGACAACAACAGCACCACCACCACTACCACCGAAAAAGACAAACATTTCACTTTATTTTATCCTCAAATAAAATTAAATTAAAATTTTGATTTGTTTTGTTTATTTTTTTTTAAAAAATACAAAAAAAAAACAAAGATGTACTTCTATGCAAAATGAAAATTGAAAAATATTTAATGAATAATTTTCTGTGAATTTTTCACTTGATATCCAGAAATGAATAAAAAAGAGAAGTAAAACAACCGATAGACCAGAAAATACTGAATTGATTCTTAGTATTGAAGCATTAAATGATATAAAATAGCTGTATTAATTATGTGTCCATATGTAGATATGTAAATGAATAAATGAACAAGAAGAGAAAATTAAAATAAAATTCAATTTAATTAATCGTTATGTAAAAAAATTATTTAGTGAATACACGAAATTGTACAAACATTTTGTATTGTCTTTGATGGATAACTGTTTCACATCGGACACAGATTAGCTCCATTTATCATGGCTTCTTACTTGAACTGCGAGAATTACCTCTTGAAGATAGTCTATAGTGAGCATATAATAATTTTCGGTATAGGGTTGTGAAGATTGTTGAGGTTTTGATTGAGATCATACATCGATCAGTGGTAGACCACCTTTCAAAACCTGGAAGCAATGAACAATCGTTTCGTCCTAGAATGGAACTCACCAGCAGTAGTTTAACTGATAGATCTCAATCAAAAACTCAACGTTTTCTACAACCCAACACTGATATTTAGTGATTAATTTACAGTGTTCTTATTTGAAGAAAAATTAAATGATATATGAAACAGTAACTCAGTGGTTGAACATCTAACACTGATCTACTGCATTGTAAGCTTGAATCCTACCTCAACTGTTTTCATTTCGACCTATCATATTGCTACAATAGTTTCCACAAATAATAACCAAAACATGCTGACTTTTAGATAATGTCTACTACATTAAATTAACATAGTGTATGTTAATAATTATGTATGTATAATAGAAATGAGAAATTTCAATCTATTTGAGATACATCATCAATCTATCTTGTAAATAATATGTACCCAGTTATATATAATCACTTCAAATGATTTGCAATAATAACAGATAACAATCTGCAGATATCAAATTTGATAAAAATAACAAAACGTTTAAGTTCACTTGGTGTTGTTTGCTTGTATCTTCCCATGAGGACTCAGTAGCTAAGTGAATAACGCGATGACGTTTGAAGCGAATGATACTGGGTTCGAGTCCCAGAGTGAACATCAAATCTGAGATGCAGGTGCATCCAGCTGACGAGTCGCAAATAGGACAAAATACGTATCCTGGATTCTACTGCTAGCCAATATCCATCCTTTTTAACAAAATGTTTATTTTAGTTTATTTCTGTCGATAATTTAATCTTTTATTATTTGTTTCACAGTTGCAGATTTATTCATTCAATAATGAATTATACAATAATTTATCTGAGGCATTTTATCGTCCGAATGGTATACTTGCTATCAGCGTTTTCCTTAAAGTAAGTTTTGTAAATGAATACTATGGTTATAGTTTAAAACTATATAATAGATAAACATATATATTTCAGACGTCAATCTAATGTCATTCTATCACCAGATATATATTTGTATGAATAATAGATAATGTGAATAAGAGGTAACTGGGTCAGTAAAGCATTTAATAAATACGAAATTTTACTTATAAATTCTGTTTACTCAATTAGATTGACAAAGGAAATTTATCAAGAAAAATTGTCAAAAATGAGGGTGTAGTGGTCTCTTGGTTGTCCTGAATTTAATTCATTTTAGTAGCTGGTTCACTTGGAAGAAAAAGACTTTTAACATTTTTTCTGTTGACAATATTCATTTTGTACACCCATTAGTTGCCATCTGTAACGTAACTTTAATTCCTAGGCACTTGTAATAGAATTTATTTATTCTGGCTAGAGAAAGCAATCTTAAACAATAAATAACTTATTTCTAATTATCCTCTAACAGTAATAATGCATGATCTTGAACTATAACGCCCAGTTTGATATACTGAATTACCATTCCGTAATTTTTAAACGAGATGAAGCTCAGTAAAATTTCAGAGTTGAAGTATTCTCAGTGTGCTACTGTCTCTAATACCTCCTCAACGATTATAACTTTGTGATCCAAACTACTCAACTTCAGGAGGTTTCAATGATAATATTTTTATCTGAGTATATTGACTTGATAAAATTGCTCAGCTTATCACTCATGATAACTTTAGAAACTATTTTCCAAATCAATTTTACTGAAGGCTTAGACATTAGTAAGCTTTAATAAACAATATCTTTTCTACTTTACAGATTGGAAATGCAACGAATAAGGACCTTTTAGGAGTTGTAGCTGCAGCCGAACAAACAATATTTAAAGGTAAATATTTATGAGATCTCGATTAAATTATGGTCATTATATATTATTCATCAGTGGAATAATTTTTATTTGAATAACCATTTCTGAGATACTAAAATTTCATCAGTTTAGATCTTGTAAACTATTTGATATATTTTGATAAACTGATTACTGATATTTAAATATATCATAGGAAGTTTTACAATATATGTAAGGGAAAATTTCCAAACAGTAGCTTTATTATTATATCGGTACCTTTTACATCAATGTATTGAGCACTTTTATCAATCAAGCAACTGGTCATTATAAAAAGAATGAATTGCTTCAAAACAAGATGCTTTCTGCTTTCGCCTAGTTCAATCACTTCATCAGTGCAATACAAGCACAGACGTGTAAATACTCTACATCTATTTACTTGGTAAAAGTAATGGTTTGTAACTTTCTGTTGTTAACATTCAGGATTGCAAATGATCAGTCTTTATTGCTATATATGCGTCCTTAATTGATCCTCTCGATATTATCTTACGCTCTAGTAAAGCGAATTGTGAATAGTAGTGAATTCCAAAGAACACACTTTATCCGATTTGGGACTCATAATTTTAACATTTCTGTGTCATTGCCGTAATGTTCTCAGTTAGTTTGGACTTTCAGTTTGATACCCAAGTTTTTATAAGTTGCAAAAACACACCCTTTATTTAAACACATGAATGTTTCCAATCTGATGGATTCAATAATGAGTTCAAAGTATTTCGGTAAAGTTAGATATATGTCTTGAATAATGTGACTAAAGATAAACATCAAAAGACATGTTTTTCATTTAGAATATAAATTCTCATGAGTTGTAAATTGAATTTTATTTGAAATTTAATTAGAAGTCTCGATGTTGAATCTCAAACCTGCTTGGTTCATTTGTACTTTTTGTTATCGAGGGACATTTAGCGCAGATTTTAAAAATCGAAATATTAAATTAATTAATTGTCGACTAACTTTGGTATCCATTTCCTTTTCTACTATGTAAACCTAATAACCATTATATTCATATTGGTAATAAAATTATCCCCTTTGACAACTGAACTAAGTAATGTCTTAACTTAAACATAAATTCTTTATACACCTTTTGAGAATTCGATAGATTTTCGAAAAAAAAAATCATTTTCATACTGAAACATAAACCACTTGTAAATCAGGATTTCTGTTGGGGATGCCTAATCCTTATAAATCTCTTGATAAATGCCTTAATTTTGTAATTTTATTTTGGAAATCTAAATTTCTCGTTTCCGCACTGAAAGCGCCAATTTTTATTTTCAGATTATATTTCCCACTTAGAAAGATCTTAAATATCATTGGTTCATTGCCTTTTTCAATACGCCAGTTTGTAAATTTTCCCAGGAACCTTTTTATGCCATATATATGCTTGAATTTCGTGCTTGGTTCGTTCGTGCTCCTGGCTGCTTGTAGAATATACTTTTACCTAGGCTACGAATCTGATCTTCTCCTTCTAGTTAACAGGGCTAGGGAGAATTGAACTAGTTTAGCTTATCCTGTTATTGTGTTACGGACTTTCGTTTTTAAGTAATATCATGATCTCTTCAAACATTACAATTTCACCAAAGATCCTACGGATAAAATTTTTGACAGTAACATTTCAATTATTTCTTTTCTAATAAAATTTAGCTTTCTATTTCTTTATTGTAAACTTTTTCACAGGAAACAACAATCAATAATTTTTGTCAGTTACTATTCTTTTATGAAATTTAATAAATCAGGTCAAAAATGTAAATAAAATTATCACAAATATTCTGAACTATAATTACCTTATATTTAATGAACATAAATTGTATACAACTAAATAGTTTAACTACAGAAAACAAGTAATTCAGTTCAGTAAACTAATAAATAAATGTAAAGTATCTTTCTTGATTAAAATATGCTTTTGAAGTTTCCTTTTGATTAGTGGCATTCACTTTGCCTGTTTTATTATGTAAAATGATGTGAATAGCTTTTATAATGCATGAGTAGACACGGTTAACCTTCTTTCATTTATTACACAGGTGATTGATTTAATAAGAGAAGTTGATTATGACAATAAACTGATAAAGTTTAATTCAAAAAAATATCTTGAAGATAATTGTCATGTGTAGTAACAGGCTAACTATGTAGTTCTTTGATGATCCTAATTTAATAAACATTCATTTATTGTGTTGACAAGAAACTAACTATAATTATTCACTGAAAACTCATTAGGATTTTATTTACACTGTACACGTTAGCCATCACTTTTTTTAAAAAAACAATCCTTTGATTCCGAGAAACTTATATTATGATTAGAGAGGTTGTTTGTAGAGTTTTGAATAACTGGATCATGGTATTCACTGTAAAACTGATAATATTTGAAGAACAATTCAAAACTGAAATGTAATTTGCTCAGTGATCTCTTATTTGGTCAGAAACACAAAGTAAAACTTTTACTAGACCTTCCAATAATCAAACTAAAGTTTAATAGTTATTAAATAAATGTTATATATCTGGTTTTGCAAAATGAAATATTACAAACTGGATGCTTAAAGACTGAGTTCTTACTTTAATTTCAAACCCGTTTTCAATTTACTTCGTAAGCTTATAGAGTGATTGGAATTCAGCAGAATTGCACATCATTATACGGCTAAATTCTAAATGAAGATAAGTGGGTATTTTTAACAATAACTAGTGGATTCATTTACATAAAAATCTATTATAGGGAACTAGCTTATGTTGTAGCTGGAAATTCAATCAATATATGAAGTAAACGATATCGTGATTAAATGTGTAGTCTACAATGTGGAAAATCAGTGTGAGTTGAAGACTAATAAGGTCGTCCAACATCACTAACATTTAAACTTTAGAATAGTACTTGAGGTAATGAGTAATTTCAATACTGATTAATGTTATTTTAGTTCTCATTATGGCGTTTCCATTAACCAATCAAAACATATGATTATTTTTTAATGTAAATAATTATTATAAATACTGTTATTCTGACTGTTTAGTACTACTTTTTAAACTTCGTTTGCAGGTGAAACATTCCAGCTAAAAGGTCTTGAACTACGCTCATTACTAACATCAACACATGAGTTTATGACATATGAAGGATCATTGCCATTTCCTCCATGCCATGAAACAGTTACCTGGATCATATTGAATCATCCTATAATGATTACTGAAACTGAAGTGAGTTTACGAAAAAAATCCTAATTGTTAAATGAAATTCATACATTTTCTCTAGTGATTCCTAGAAGTGTTTTAAGTCAGTAAAAACACGAGTCTTAGACTGAAATGAAATCATTTTATAGGAGGATTTCTCTTCAGCTATAAACAATCCGAATTACACAATCTCTCTCCATTATTTCCTATTTTTACGACAAATTAGATATTTTGGCGGGTCGCAATAGAACAAAATACTTATTATCCGATAATTATCGACAAATTTCCATAATAAAGATGAAAGACTTTTTGATCGATACATGAAAATCTAGAATTTCTTAAAAGAAATATATTTTTTAACCTCATTTAAAGGGTTTTATAGTCATTCAAATGATAGTTATTAGTAATATGTAATATAGTCTCTATGGCTAACTGAATTTTATCAGACGATCATGCAATAAACATACTAGTCAAGAATAATTGACATCACGATACATTTACTTAATCTAGGGGTTCATGCATATCGTCACTAGGATGATTAGTGTATTTAACCCGGTTTTATATAAAGTAATTTACTATTTGGACGACATACTGTAGATGTTTCTACGCCACTGAAAAGTGCTAGCTTATATTTCCAATAACTTATTAACTTTTATTAATATCTCATGTTCTCTTTCCTGTTAAATACCAGACAACAATCAAACCTAGAACTTGAACTCACTTGGTATTGTTTGGCTTGTATCTTCTCATTGAGGTTCAAGACTGCAATTGATCATTCTGTTATTGGCATATGTAATAATCCTGGATTCCACTGCTAGCCACTATCCATCTCTGCTTACAAAAAGCTTGTGAATTAAGGCAATATCGAGGCATACGTACAGTATGCACATATGCCAATAACAGACTGATCAATTTCAGTCCCAAAACATCAATGGGATGATTCAAGTAAAGCAATATCAAGTGAATTAAACTTCAACCCATTGCACAAGCAAGTGGCTATCAGGACTCAGTAGCTAAGTGGATAACGCGATGGCGTTTGAAGCGAATGGTACTGAGTTCGAGTCCCAGAGTGAACATCAACTCTGAGATGCAGGTACATCCAGCTGACCAGTCCCTAATAGGACGAAACGCGTATCCTGGATTCCACTGCTAGCCACTACCCAACATCGCTTACTAGAACTTGGACTTTTATTCTATTCCTTTCAAATATCTAACGAAATTAAAAAGGTATATTTGTTCATTCTTTCTCAACTCAATATAGTAATCGGTAATAAGTATCACTTTTAATATAACAGTTTAGAAAAATTCATCGCATGCATATCATTAAAAAATTATCGATTAAGTCTGATATTTAAAGGAAAAAAGTTAACATTTATTTTTGAATGATAAAACAAAAATAATTTCCATTTAAACATTGAAAAATTGAAAATACGAAGTTCATCTAAGGGATTTATTATCAAGCCGTACAATCGTATATATTATCAGAAGGGGTTTGTGGAGATTTTAGAAATTTTCACAGATTGAAATCATGAGTCAGCTGAGGAGTCCCATACTAGGATGAAACGGCCGTCCAGTGCTTCCAGGTTTTCCATGGTGGTCTAGCTTCAACTGACTCATGATTTCAATCTGTGAAAATCGTATATATATTTTTTAAAAATTTTAGTTAAAGTACTAATTCTGCGAGGAAATATGAACACAATAAACCAAGATGACGTAATAAAAAGATTATAATATTAGATAACGTAATACGAATAGTAACAATAGATTTAGTGAGTATAATAAGATGATCAAAATGTTTTTGTTATAATAATTAAAGGTCATAGAGGTGTAAAAATAAATAAGGTGACATGGTGAGTATTTATGAATAAATCAATGAGAATATAAGACAAAAGTAAAGGGGAATGCAGTAATAATAATAATAATAATAATAATATTAAGGCCAAGGTAACGATAATGATAAGACGTACTTCTTTTGTACGCATAGTTCTGGTTTAAGCTCCTGTTTTCAAGAGTTGGATACGAAGAAATCTAGGTAGATTTGAACGAATCATATAAACAACCTTAAAATCACACTGCGGATCCGGAAATTGATTACAGTCGATTAGGTGTTCATGTATAGAACTCCTATCTACCTTCGTTTCATCCTTTTAGAACCAGACTGGGATATGTTCTCGTATCCGAGTTTAAAGCGAACGCTGGCTACAACCAATGTAACTTTTTTTACAGCTTGATAATAAATTCGTTGAAAAAAGATCCCTTCGCTGAACTTTGTGTTTTCAAAACAAAATTAATCCTTTATATCTAATAGACAATTCATTTAAAATTTGACTCAACCACTCTATATATTTATAATGTGATTAAATTATTGGTTAAATGAGTAATATAACATTGATAAAGTTTCCACCGTTTATTATTCTTTTTTTCCCTTCTATGTTTTATATAAAATGAAAAATGTTTATTGAAGGATCAAACTTTTAAGGTTAGAAAAAAAAACATCCGTGACTTTGTTTAAACCGAATATAAATATGAAATAGTATGAAATTTCTTTATTGCTATAAAAGAACGAATGATAATTCATTTTTCCAAGGTACAACAATCAAATGAATTTCTTCCGACAAAATTCTGTTTATGGTTTTATTTAAAGAGAAAATTAATGTTAAACTTAGTTTCATGTTTGACAAATTCTTTCAACCTACTTAAATGATCAATTATACTTCTTGTTAATTTCCATACAAATTGATATGCACTGTGGGGTTTTTTTGTCTCCTCAACTTCATAATGATGTAGGCAAAAGTATAATTTCTATCGAATTATTAAAATAATAAATAATTATAAAATGGTATGTAATATTTATAAATAATAGTAAGAAAAAACTTGTCAAATATTAACAAAGTTTATAAAAACACGAAGAAGTAGAAGAAGAAGAAGAAGAAGAAGAAGAAGAAGAAAGCAGGAATTGAGATACAAAGTATCATAAGATTATTTTCTACATAAGAATCTATGTTTTGGATCTTACAGATCATAGTTTCTCCACCATTCACCCATCCTCCCCTCCCCCCCCCCACAAAAAAACGAACAGAACCTATATGCCGGTGTAATTGCTGTAAATATATAGGGAGTTGAAACACTATTTCTACAGGATCAATAATGAAAATACCTTGAGCAACAAACTACTGTTGGAGAGAACAAACCAGATTCCAAAGAAGAACGAAATCAGGAAGAAGCTCTGGAAGTGGATAAGACACACATTGAGGAAAGCACTCAACTGCGTCACGAGGCAAGCCTTCACGTGGAATTCTCAATGCCAAAGGAGAAGAGGAAGATCAAAGAACACATTACTTCGAGAAATAGAGACAGATATGAGAAGAATGAACAACAATTGGAGAGAAGTAGAAAGGAAGGTTCAGGACAGAGTGGGTTTTAGAAGGCTAGTCGGCGATTTATGCTCCATCGGGAGTCAAAGGCGTAAGTAAGTAAGTAATAATGAAGATGATAGAAACAAAAGAAAGTAAATGTAATAATTAAAGATCATTAAGAATCAAAATACGGGTTATTGGAAAAGTTACCAAAGGTTCTTCTTCATATGAATTTTAGAACTATTTTCAAAATGAACTGTTGAAATTTGAAGTAATTGATAATATTATCAGAATGGGTTTCGTGGAGATTTTTAGACATTTTACTGGTTGAAATCATGCGTCAATTGAAGCTAGACCACCATGGAAAACCTGAAAACAAAACCAGTAGGTCCTGGGTTCGAATCCCACGGGGTGCGGGACCGTGGATGCGCACTGCTGAGGAGTCCCATACCAGGACGAAACGGCCGTCCAGTGCTTCCAGGTTTTCCATAGTGGTCTAGCTTCAATTGACTAATGATTTCAACCAGTGAAATTGATAATAATTGGAAAAATAGTTTAAATTACGGAAAATCACAAGAATAGATTGTTAATTCTAATTGTGTAATGAAATGTCGAAATAACCATCAGATTAGAGTGTACTAACATTTATATTAAAATAATTTCTAAAAAAGGGTTAAAATTCATTTATTTTATCGTACATACAATAAATATATTATTATATAAATATCACAATTTATTGAAAAGTTAATTTGTCGTAGAACTAAAGGAAGAAAACAAAAACCAAAAACTTCGAGGTTCAAGTGACTGTCTTAATATTAGCAATTGAATTTGTTACTTCTTTTAAAAGTCCATAGTTCGTAACTGTTCTTATATGATGTTGTAACTTGTAGCCTTGTGCCCTTATTAATATATAACGTAATGATACCGCCAATTAAAGAATAGTGATTTATCGACCGGACCAATGAAGCATAAACCCATACGAGCAGTTCATAGTGTTTATCTGTCCTTTTTCCTGCCTAGCCTTGCCCGTTAAGTCTAGAACACCAATCTCAGCCTCCGCGATATGAATTATGTATTTCAAACATACTGGGTTTATATACAAACCAAACAGACCACATCGTACCATAAAATAGAAAACAACATTTGTACATGATCTAACTAAAAGTGGTTGTGAATGTGCGAGACTGTTATTAATAGACTGAGAAGAACTCAAGAACAGTAAACCGTAAAATAATAGTCTATAGGTCAAAATAAAGCTTATAATGAGAGGAACATAAATGTGCATAGTTTAGCTAATTAACAAATATATAATATCAGAATGGGTTTTGTGGAGATTTTTAGAAATTTCACAAGTTGAAATCATGAGTCAATTGAAGCTAGACCACCATGGAAAATCTGGAAGCACTGGACAGTCGTTTCGTCCTGGTATGGGAGTTCTCAGCAGTGCGCATCCACGACCCCGCACCTCGCGGGATTCAAACCCAGAACCTACTGGTTTCGCACGCGAGCACTTAACCATTAGACCACTGAGCCGGCAACCAACGGTGTTAATGTCTAGCCTCAACCAATCAACGAAGTTGCGCCAACGTACACCATTGTCTTCAGTGAGTTCCTATCTCACAACAAACCTGGTTGAACTCCACTGGTAACGAATTCTCACTAGAACTCCAG